ATGGGTATAAGGCATCCAGAAAGTCATGTCTACAAATGATTTTTCCTGAGACAGAGAGAGACACTTAGAAACACAGGCAAGGAGATCAGCACCAAGGTACAAACCTCTTGTGCAATCTTGCCAGCACACACATAAGGAAAAAGGGAACATCAGGGGTTCTTGGGCCGAATTTGTCCTTTACATCAGCTACAGGATAGATTCAACCATAACCACTTACCACTTTTGAGTCCCTTGCAGAGCACAATTTATGCTGCTTGACTCTAATTTGTAAAGAGGACATTATCTTTTCTTAGGACTTTGAGAAAGTCTAAGGAAACTGAGAATAATTATAAGGTTAAAAACAGGAACAAAGCAATTATGAATAACTTGCAGTCTCGTAATTCTATGGGAGATCAAAGTAACCTAGGTATTCCAGGGAAGACTAATTCCCAGTGCAATGTGTCTTTCCATTCCTACGAATGTTACTCTGTCCTTGATTTAAATTAGATTTTTCTATGGGAATTATTCTTCCAGCATCTTATATTCACATGCGTTTCTACCTCCCAGATGAATATATATATTGATTCCAGCTGCATCAGTCCCATCGCTTCATTTTTTGGAAGCTGCTCTTACTTACACAGAAGTAACTGCACCTTTGGGAAACAGTCTTAACTTGGCAGGTATTTTATTAGGAACACAGTAGGGTTTAATAATCTGAAGAGACACTACTGATAATGAAATCTATCGCTTTAATTTCAAGATGATTCTGGAGATTTAAGAAGTGAAGAAGCATCATCTTAGAGTAAAAAAAAAATCAAGATTTTAAGTAGTGCTTGATTAGTTACAAAGATGTGAAGTTTTTTAGTGTGAGGTGTCCCTGCCCATGGCAAGGGGGCTGGAACTAGATGATCTTAAGGTCCTTTCCAACCCTAACTATTCTATGATTCTATGTGATATGTTACCCACAAGATGAGGAAACCAACTGAATTAAGTAACCCAAGTGGACGTGCCTGTCCACCTCAGGTAATCTATAAAACATCCCTCCTCCATGGCCAGACAACCAATATATATGCCTAAGGCTGAGATTACACACAGTGAAGCAATGACTAAAGAAATCTATTTTTTGGAGTACAGATGGTGGCTATGGATCCACAGTGTTGAGGAACAAGTCAGTAACACTCTGTATTTAATACTGATCTTAGTTAATGACCTTAGGTAGTTTGCAAAAGGACTAGATTTTGTACCTATGAGCTTCTTGTTCAGATTTTAAGGTCAAAAGAAACTAAACTAAAACTTCTTTAAAGGGTTGTTTCAGTCATTAAAAAGACGGTACCTCTTTCCGCAGAACATTTTGCTAGCCATGAAGTTTAAATACTGCACCAGCATGTATGTCCTATTCAGACTTACTAGTGAGGGATGCTAAATAAGTTTGCTCTAGGAACTAAGCTGGGAAGTGGGGAGACATCAGCCTTACTGCATTTAAACTCTTAAGTCTGTCACTCCCTCTTTTTCTTATGTTTGAGCAACTCAAACAACTATTTTAAGACAATTTGCATACATAGCACATATTCACATTGTCATTTTAAGTACAGTTACATTTTGGCAGTACAGCAAATGAGATGTAATAAAAATGAGTCCTTGGTTTAGGCTCTAAATAACTGACTAATGCTCAGATTTTACATCCCCATTTAACTTTCACTAGCTGGAAGTAACAAAGTGGGTCAATTAATCCTCATAACAGGAAGTAATTGAATTGCCGTTCCAATCCAGTCTGCAGAGAAAAAACACCACACTATTTTCTAAGAAAGCAACTGCTGTACCAAGCCAGGGTCCTGGGTAATTTATTTAGTGTCAATTTGTGACAGCCTCCAAGATCTGTGCTGCCACATCTATGCATTTAATGTCATGGACCTGGACATAATTGCTTGTCATGAATGTTGCAAAGTCCATTAAAGACTTTATTCCCTCCAGGAGGGAACCAAACCTGCACCTGTGAGCTGTGTGGCAATGACTTTGCACAGACCTGCTGCAGCACTTGCACATCATTTGTTCTGTGGCCCATCAGATATCACAAGATACTCCTATCAGCTTAAACAGCTGATGATTGATAGATTTGTCCTGATGACTTGTGGAGGGGCATGCTCCTACGGTGTGCAGGTATTTTATGACTCATTATCTGTATGGCAAGAATGGTCTTATGCATTATGTACTGCAAACGGTTTATACTCTGCTCTAAAGAAAAAGATTGTTAGATAGGAGATTTCCTCATTACTCTTTCTATTACGTTCTCCACAGTGGTATCTGAGGTCTATATCTAAAAGAGGAGGTGTGAACACACTGAATGTGGTGGTGCCTGGCTTCTAGATAACTAACAGACTGACGATGTTTCCTACCCGCAGGTAAAAGCTGAGTAACATCTCAGTACCTTGAGCAGGAGGTACCAACACTAAGGTGAGGTAAAGGCTCATTTTCTTTGCACTTTCCTCAGATTATTGTGCCATCTGGTTTTGAGTTCCCTCCAGGAAAAAGTGAGGACTAAGCACTGTGATAGGAGGATTGTTATATATGCTTTTCTTTTTCCAAAGAGGAGGCAGTTCTCGTTATAGCAAGTAATGCAATGTATGGAGCATTTACCCAGGATGTAGGAGACAGATTAAATTCCTTTCTCTTACTGTGCAAATGTCCCAGTAATTTCACATATAGTCTCAGCTATTCTTTGATCCAGTGAATATGCAGAGACATCAGATTCTGTGTGGTCCTTGCAGATTGCCCACCTTTGTGGCTTTACCTTCTTCTTGCCATGTGGACTTTGTATGAGGCCTTGCAATCTCTGAAAGTATTAATAGCATCTTTGCCACTCCCTTGATACTGGGAACCAGCCGTAGACGCAAACATAGATCTTGCCAGAATTAATTTAGACAAAGGCTTGCTTCATTTTCTGTTTTATAATTTAAATAAGCAACCTTTCACGTGTCTGTTACTCTGCACGAAACTTTATATATGTGGGCCTGTGAATAATGCCTCAGCACAATATAAGCCCCTGAGATATGTTTCCCAGCATCTTTCCCTGTTACAGGCCAGAATAGATGGTCATTGAGCAGCATTAGAGAAAGAAGAGAGGAATTCCCACGACAGCTGCCTGCGGGGAGGAAAGACAGGGCCTGTGGCTGATGTTTTATCGATTGCAATGCAGACATGCACTTTCCTACGAACTGATGTAGTGTCACTACAGAGCAACATGGGAGAGTTTTTCTGCACGTCTCTGATGCAGGCTCAGAAGGTATGACGCCCATCTATGTGCTAAGCATCAAGGATCTCACTGTAATGAGTATGCAGCTATAGGTGTAAAGTTTAGGGGATTACTTTTGAGGTATGGCTTTGGAAGGCTTTTCACAATAAAAGTAACAACACACAGTTGAATGTGTATTTATTATGCATTCATGTCTAAGTCTGCAGTAGGCCAGATTCACATCCCTCACATATGACTGCAGAGTAGCTCCAGCAAAGGGCATGGGATTACTACAGGTTAGGCACAGCCCCACTTCCACAGATTTACCACTTTCATAAACATTTCACCTATGTAAAGAGGATTACGTCCCTTGGTAGGGACAAGAGCTTTTGCTTCATGTGTGAAGTAGCAGCAAACAAGGCTGCTCCGGATTCGTCTTCATAAGAAGTCTTGGGTTTGCTGTAAATTTAATAGAGCGCCAGTTACATCTAATGAGCCAGGACAGTTACCAACGCTCAGCCAGATGAGACTGAACTGAGGGAAAGCTGGTGTTTCTAACTCATCATCTGCAACTGTATGAGAAGATTCAGATGTCCTTTTATGAATGCGACTGACAAAGTTTAATGATTAATGTCTCTAAAAAAAAAAGGGAGTTAGAGAGCCAAACAATACCAGTTTTCTTCAGCAATAAATCAGCCTTTCTGGTATAAGCTAATTCATAATCATCTGCCTTGAATTACAACACAACAAAAATTATTTCTTCAGGTTTTCTATGGAAAAAAGGGAGAAGAAATAATTATCATGGGATGACACAACTGCAAAGGATGTCTATAGCTGAACCATGGAGTTTGCTACACTAGCCACATGTGGAATTCAGTATTTCAATGAGAAATGAGAGCACTTCCTACTTTTCTCATTGTGAAAATGGTTCTGCAGCCATTGGTAAATAGGGTTACATAAAGGCCTGACTCATGGGATGCTATGTTAAAAAGAACAAATTGATAGGGAACATCCCATGAAAGGCCTCCACATTTCCGCAGATTGAACAAAATTATTAAGGGAACACAATCACAACTTTTGCTAGAATATTTTCCTTTTAATACTGAATGACAGACTCCCTTAAAGTAGCATCAAAGGGGAAAATAAAAGGGAAAAGATTCTATTATCTTAAATTGAATCTTAAAGCATGAAACTGTTTAGGAAAAAAAATAAATGAGGAGGAAAGAGAAAATTGGGCTGCCAGAAAAACAATCTTCTCTATTTCCTAACTAGAAATTGTATGAAGAATGACACACAATAATCTCTCAGACTGGCTCTCAAAAATTATATATCCAATTCTCATCAAAAGTGGCTCAGACAAAAAAGACTATATGCAAAGCTGATACTGCTACTTGACAAATCCAGAATCTGAATGGGACACATCATTGCTTTCTGAGTACTATGAAATGAAGAAGAAAAGCTACTGTTGGTGTTCCTGCTTCTTCTATTATCTTTTATAATGAAAGAATGATATCCTACTCAAATATACTTTAGTTCAATCACTGGTGAATCAGGAGTCCCTCCCATTCTCCCACCAAAGATTCTTGAACATCTGCAGAATCAGAGCTTTGATTTTTAAGCAAAATAATCTCTAGTCTCTGTGTTTGAAGGGAAGAAACCACAACTTTCAAGTCTGAACTGAGTGCAAACTGGTGCTATTCTCTGCTATGAGCTGAGAGAGTAAATCAATAGTAGTATGAAAGATGAACTCCCTCCCCATCTCACACCTTTCATCTCAGTAGGCTGAAGACGCTGAAGGGTGATTTTAGTGTCGATGTTGATATCAATTTATTTTTCTGACTAAGAGGAACATGGAAACAGGACTGAGCAATCCTTCTGGATCACTGAATTGACTCTCCTGCCATGACAGCACTGCAACATACAACTTTCCCCATTAACATATAGTACCAATTTTTTTAAATCTAGCTCTTGTTTTTGGTCCCTGCTATTCTCATTAAAGGCTTCAGTGCCCTGGGGTAGCAGATACTGTCTTCTAAAAACAAGGCCAAATGTATTCACTACCAGTTTGTACCCACCTGATCATGTGCCAGCATCACTTCAGTGTAAACAGCTCTTCTCCTTTCTTGATGTTAACCCCACAATGTATTTTACAGCAAGCACATCCCTCTCAGCTTTCATTTGCCAGACTAACCCAGTGAAGCTCTGAGAGTCCCCTCAAAGCTGGCCCCTAATCCCCTCATCCTACTAGAATTGTACAGGCTATTTCCTAGACTCACCAGCATGTTGCGTAAGTGGCAATATTATTTCCCTTGTTTTTTTGGGAAAAGCCTCCTGACAGCCTTTCTTTTCCTAATTCTGGAAGGTCTGAGAAAAAGAAACTGATGAGAATTATGCAGAGTGAGGAGGCTGTTTAAAATACGCCTATAGGCACCCGGCTGATGGAGTGGCAACCCTTTCAACTGCTCAGACAGAACTGGTAAGGCTGAGGACCCCAGGTGTATCAGCCCACACACAGTCTGGAAAGAAAACGGGAAACAAGGTGCATTACTTATTATTTCTTAAGCTTTTTAATGTCATTTTTTTAAAGACTAAATGTTCTTCTCTTGTCGTATTCCTTCTCCCTGCCCTGCTGCTTGACACTCTCTGCTTCACAACCAAAACCAGAAAGGAAAACAAGGAACCAGGCAGGGCAACGAGGAAGCTGAGGCATGAAGGGACCTGGCAAGCCTGGCATGAGGGAGAGGGAACTGGCAGAGAGAGATCCATCCTGAGGACACTCCTTGTCCCCGTGGGGTCACCACAGGGTGCTCCTGTAAGCCCAGTGCTATATAGCACCTATCCAAATGATTGCTTTATGCCATCAATATTAGTTTCCCTGATGTCCCCCCAGGATGAGAACTTTCAGAAAAGATACATTACAATAAAATGCAAATAGTATACTGTCTCTGAAAATGCCCATAGCTGAATGGGCAGCATAATGGTATTAATTCAAGCTTCTAAACAGCACCAGTGCTATTGTTATTGATCCGACACCCATCATTGATATTAGTGGGTTGTATATTCAGTTTAGTTACTCCCTTCTAAAATGCACCCTTGAAATTTTCCTCTGCTAATAGAACACAGCAGTGAGTCCCTTTCCAGAAGAGGTAATTGAAATGTGTCCAGAGACAGAGAAATGGAAATCAGCAGAGGCGGAAACAGAACAGTCATGGAAGAGTGTCCATAATAAGAGTGGAGTGAAAAAGCAAAGGAGAAAAAGGAACTAGTATGGGCCATTCTGTAGTCTGGGTATACTCATATACAACGGTCTTATCTCTTGCTGGGGGCCTTTCAGTTACACAAATGTAGGATAATAATTTGCTTTTTCTAACAGCTTGGCCAAGGAGAAGAGTGCTGGCCCTCTCAGTAAGGTGAAGTTCCAGTACAAGAAGAAAGAATCAAGCACCTTTGTGCCTTGATTCATGAAGATCTGACCACTATCTTTTTGTCAGGCTGCGGCAACATGAAGGTCAGGATCTTTCTCATGCACTGCGCTGCTTGGAGCAGAAAGCCACCACCAGAGAGAGCTATTCCAGATCTTTTGGTCAGAGAACACAAAGCTCGGATTCGAGTACTGAAGTGAGTACTCAAGACTTGTGATCCATGCAGACCTGCTTCAGGAGTGAATAGTTTAAATATAACTGACGTGTAAGGTACGCCATTCACTTGGGGTGAGCTCATGGAGATGCAATTCAAACTCCATTATGGCCAAGTCCATAAAGACACCTTAGTCTGATTTTAAAAGCAATTTTATAAATCTTCTATCCTTATGTGTGAATTCTAGATTAGGCGTAAAACACAAGTTGAGTGGTTTTATCTCTGAAAGCAAGCACTCAAGACCTCTTTCCCAATGTTTCAGACTGGTCTAAGGGCAGACAGACATATCAAGCCTTCATCTTGGGGAAATGAATGCTGGAAGCCAAGATTAAGTAAAGAAACAGTCCCATTACGAAATCTTCCCCAGCCTTATGATGAAGCAAATTCACAAGCTTGCTTCCATAGGTTTTCCACAGTTATTTTCCTCCCCTGGAAGGGTATTTATGAAACTATAATTGCAAAGCTTATAGTCTTCCAGTGCCTGTTTTCCATAGCTATTGACCCTATTTCCATAAATGTTGACCTTGTCACCCTTGAGGACGACAAGGGAAACCAAGAGTTTGCTGTCCTCCCAGAATGTCTGATGGAAACAGAAATCTCTGAAATTTCCTGATCACCTGTAATCTTCAAGGATTCCATATAAACAGTAGCCCCTCTAACCAGAAATAAGATGGAAAAACACATGTTATCTGAATGTAGTTCCAGTGTCTTCAGAACTAATTGCTTGAAGTGTTTGAAAGAAATATGGAGTATAATAGCTATTGAGACATTTCCTCACTGCCCAGCACAGAAACAGGTGCTGCTTTTACTGGGCTTTGTGTGTTAATTCTGTGCGGTATTACTGATAATACTCAGAAACCTCTTGCTGTGTGGATAGAATTAATGCAAGATGGTACTGATGCAAATATAGCTTGCTTGCTCAAAGGGATCTGGAAAACTGTTTCACATGTTCACTAAGCTGTATCCTGTTAGGTACATCTCAAAATGTGTTCAGAAGTTGATGTTATTTCTGTGCCTAAAGAACATAAATTAGAATCCAGATTTCATAAAGACAGAAAAAGATGTATCTACGAGACTGGGAGACAGTGTAGGATAAAACACAGCATTGAGTTTCCCTGGTTTAACGTCACCACGGACCACTTGAGCCACTGCAGCTAACCATGTACATGTCCTTCACGTGTGGGAAATGTGAAGTAAAACACTGTGAAGAACCAGCTGGCAGGAGTGACCATGTGCTCTGTGACAGTGGCTCAGCTGTTGCTGAGTAGTGTCCAAGCAGAAGCCACAGTCTTCCCTGCAAGGTGGACACTTGCCATTTTTTCTGTTTTGAACTCAATGAAAATAAGCCGCTACCAGCACCCTCAAGCTCCACTTCTGGGAAAGAAAGGAACACCTGGTACTGTTCACTGAAGGGCTGCCCGCCTCTGCAGTGGTAGCTCAGTTGCATGCTTGCAACATGGATCTCCAAAGGTCTTTAAAGGTTGCTTTGGTCTCTAGTGGTGCTGAATACAGCATCTTGCTCTGGATTTAATGGGAGCCAGAAGAGCTCAGCACTCCTGGAAAACAGTCTACTTGAATCTATCGACATTAAAATTCAAGGGTCTTTTTCCTGCACTAATTGCTTCAGATGTTGAATCAGCATCTTAGTGTCAGGGATGGTAGACAACCTTTCGAAAGCAGTTCTTACCTCTCCCTGTGCTGAACCAGTCACCCTTTACATGAAGTGATTTGGGTTAAGAATAATCACAGTCAGGATACACTGATGCCACTGTTGCTATCTCGCAGATGTTACCTTTTCACTGGACAATACAATGAATCCTGTTCTCCAAAGACAGATGTGTAACTTGATAGCTGGATGCTCCTGTGGGTTTGGAAATCCCTTGGAGCACCAGCAACCCAGGCTGCTGAAGAGTGCTCAGGTTTCAGGGCTTCCTCCCTGACCTTTTGCACATTACTGAACATGGCTTGATGTTTGTATGAAAAAAATCATATTAAATAATAGTCTACATCCATTTCTTGTAAGAGGCATGGCCAAGTATCAAGGCAATCTACATATCAAACTCTGCATTAAAGTTTGTGAGGAGATCCTTTCCATGTTCTCATTTTAACCATACTCTTATCCTCATTTCCTGACCCTGCACCTCCTATGCTATCTCTCAACATAAACTGCACTGGCTCTGATTTCATTTGCACTCATTAAAGACAGAAACCATCTTGTTACATATCTGATAGTTCTGAATTAAGAACTACATTCCATCCTTCTCCTTGAAGGCATTTCTACTCAATGTATGTAAGTCTTGATGATGATTTTTCCACAAACAAATAGCTTTTACTTGTGTCAATCTATTTTGGCATTGGATACCATCTTTTAGCTTCTATAAGTGATGCACAAAGAAGGAAAATAGCGTTACAGTCCTTTATGTTCCTGTAGCCTTCATTGAAATGGATAGTGGGCAGACACAAATTACTGTCTGTCACACAGTGGCTCAAGCCCAGGAGTGCTAAGGTGTAGTGCTCTACTCCTTTATTAGGGTAGGAAGGCAGTGAAAAGATATCTCTCTTCCAAGCCCTCCCACAGGGAAAGCCAAATGTAACAATTCTGATGTATATTTACCATATAAAAACAATCACAGGAAAATAAACATGTATATTTTTCATCTTACATTGAAAGAAAAAGGATATAAATCCAAGCCAAGAAAAAATTCCAGTAGCCATTTAGTGGTAAAAATCCCTAGTAGTCATCATTCCACAATACATATATATATAGATAACTCCAGTTGAAAAATGCAGGTATTTGTCTCCCAACAAAAAACTCAGGCCCTTAATATACTACCAATTGCAGTTAGAATTGTGTATGGATTATTTTAATGTCTTATTGACATACTAATAAACTAAGTACCTTGTTTTATTAGTGTCATTTAAGTCTGTGTTAGAAGAAACATTATAGAATTTCACTCCTAATAACAATAATAATCTAGATTCTTGAAGGAAGGGCAAAACTATTTCCATGATACAGTGACATGACAAGACACAATCCTGAGAGCATATGAAGTTCTGAGTTAATCATAGCGCTCATAGCAGAGTAATTCAGGAGTTTTTAAACGCCACTTTGTTAAAAGTAGTAATTTACCCTTCATGTGATCTCTTTGTAATAACCAATCATATCTGCATTGTACAGATCACTTGTTCTGATGCATGCCTTTCCACAAATTTATCCATTGTACTTGAAACCCAGATACTACGCCTTTCCCTAAATGGCACCACTTCTGAAGTAGTTGCTAATAAATAAATAAATAAATAAATAAATAAATAAACATTATTGTCCATGAGTGAATACACTGTAATGTACAAAAAATGCTATTTCACTGAAGAGTATCCATTACACATAATGACAATGATTTGTTTTGCAATCTCTATTTTATGCTTTCTAGCTACACAAAAAGTACTCCTGTCCCATGATAATTAAAACCAAGATGACACAGACAAGGGTTTTTACTCTCCTTTCTGTAGCAGAAGTAAGCCTGAAAGGACAAACATTTGGTTCATCCTTTTACATGCCTGGAAAAATGACAGCTCAAATAATAGGGTAAGTGGTGAGCCATTCAGGTGTCACTAGCAAAGGGTGAGCAGATGCCACCAGATCCTGCCATTAGTATTCTCTGGAAAGGCAAGTAAACAGCAGTTCCTAAGAGCAGGAGTATTTGACTTCCCTTTCTTGGCCTGAGCCTGAGAGCCAGCAGCTCTGTCGGCGCAGACCTCCTCACCCCCCAGCAGCAGTTCCTTCAACACCAGTCCTGAGGGACAGGCCCCCTCGAAGGTCCTAGGCTTTTCAGTTGTTGCAGCTCAGGCTGATTCCTCACCCAGGCTGAGCAAAAAGTGCAAAAAAAGCCACTTAGGCTGGAGATGTGCCCTGCCCAAGGCTTTGAGTTAAAGAGCAGGGGCTTTGCAGAAACAAAGTCACAAAGACCCAACCCTGCATCAGGGCCCTCAGGGCACAAGGGAGCTGTGGGAAGCAGGGATTATGAGTGGCAGAAAAGATGAAGACATCTGGCTAAAGAACTGACTGAAAAATTAAGTTGGGGATCTGGGAGAAACAATGTATGAGTTGTTTGGTCCATGGTCCATGAGTTGTCTCTGGTGTCTTCAAAACCAAAGTATTTTCTAAACGAAAACATTACATAGAAGAATATCAAATTCATATAATCTGTATTTTCATCCTGCAAATGCACTCAGCCAAGATACTGACTATTCTGGCCTAAGAGGCGATAATATCCTCTTCCCTTATATGTGTGAAATTGTCGCATCAGGATTTTTTTTCAGATGAACTCCCTGAAAGCATTATAAAAAATCTGGAATTACCTCACCTGTGCTGAATCAACATCACAGCTCGGACAGAGGTGAAACCTTGGAAAAACCATGAATCAGATTCTTCCCTGCAATACTAACTGGTTATTTTTTCAAAGGAATTAGTAAAAGAAACCCAAGGACACAATGTATCTCCAATGGGAAGAAATTTTTCTTACCAGTAACAAAAGAAGTGAGAAAGCAAAGAAGGTTGGGGAGAAGGAAGAAATTACCTGAAACCTTCCCCTGGGCAGAATTTCATCTGAATGAATTATTTCAACAGAGCCTGGCACTAAGTCTTCTGTATTAGAGACAGTGACACTGATTAAACTGGTGTAACCATACTTATTTTGGATTAAGGGTACTTTTAGTTCATCTTAGTTTTGATTAGTTCCTAACTGATTCAAGCTAACTGATAGAACTCCAGTTTAATTTGGAATAAAAGTTGTTTAGACGGGTTTTAACTAAAACTGCTTAGATGCAGTCTGTAGTTAGACCTGTGTGACCTGGAGAACTCACATCAAAATAAAGGTGTTCATATACACCCTTGCACCAAAAATATCCAAAGGTTTGAATTTCAGCCTATCTAATATTTTTCCTTCTCGTTATCACCCAGACAAACCTGTGGCTGTGTACTCAGTTACTCTCAGTGGTTCGGCACTACATTCATCTGATAACGTTGCAAGTCAAGGCAAGAGTCTTCCTGAAGTGATGCAGGGAAGTTTTCTAAAGGTCAGTAAATAGATCAGTTAAAAATCAGACCAGGAAACAGCAGAAATAAAGCAAGAAAAGAGAATGGAGCAAGATCAAAGTGTGTGACTAAAAGGTTACCAGTTCTGGGGATGAAGTGTTGCCCTGTTTGGAGAACACTAAGCTCTCCTGCTTTCTCTGAAAGACAGGGTTTAAATCCTAGAAAGTGAAATGCTGTCCCCTTACTTATGGTAAGAGGACATTTTTTTAAATTCTCAAGAACATTCTTCTTAAAAATGGAAATACTGGAGGCACTTTAACGCAAAGAATTGTCTTAGTTATTCAGTAATATTGCTTTCTTATATTGATAATGAAATGTTTATCATTAGATAAACATGGTATCTGTGGCATTCATGGCATTTCCTAGAGAACTACACAAGTGCTGTTAAATAACTGGTCCTCACAACACCTGATGAGGTAAGTAAATATAATTCTATTTCTACAGGGCTAGATGTTACCCCATTCTCTGGACGATTTCTCCCAGAGAAACAAAGTGATTTCACTGTCAGCTCCAATGCCCCTGGAAGCCAACAGAACTTAGACAGGTGCCTGGACTTAAAAGCATTAGGAAGATGAAAAAAAAAGTAATTTAAAACTTGGGAACTGAAATTCTCAGCTGTCAATCTTGACCTGAATTTCCAAGACTATTCAAACCACAAATGTAAAGGCTTGTCACTGGATGTTAAACAGTATAGGAATGATTAATCTGAGCCACTGACATGGGGTTGTAGGCCATCAACGTTGTGTTTGTGGAGTTTCAGTTCTTTTCTGGTAAGAATGGCTCCCAGGCCCAGAGAGAAAAAGGGGGCAGGAAGCACTGTCTACTGTTATTAAAATGGTCGGCTGACCTCATGCCTTTAAGGAGGCTCAGACGAATAAATAGTCAAACATTAACCTTTTTAGCTGAGAGAGGAAAGAAAAACATCCACTCACAATGAAAAGCAGTAATGTGGTGAGCCATCCTCTGCAGCTCTGAGCGGAGCTGCCCAGCTGTTTGGTACCCCTCTGCTGCCAGATGTAACTGCAGCATGCACCATGGGGTGCATTTACCCACATGTCAGGGATACTGAGGGCTGTTTTCTTACTTGAAGGGTACACTTTGATTCATTCGTTTGCTGCATAAGTGAGGTGAAGACTAAACCAATGACTTAAGCATTTTCAGAGAGCACACAGAAACCAAAACAACTGCTGGTTAATCTTGTTCCAGCACTGAATTCAACTTCCGCATAATTATTAAACAGCAACAACAAGAAAGATACATAAGTTTCTCTTCAGTGCTGCCCTAAATCACACACCTTAAATAAAAACTGGGGATGTGGCTTCATGCTGGAGTCTTTGCCTGCAAAACCATGGTAGTGTTTTACCCTGGGTTTTGAACTCCTAAACCAAGTAAGGAAATGGCGTCCAAAGAAGAAAACTTCTGGGCTATGTAAACAGCAAACACTTGCCACTGTAGCCCTGGCAGGATATTTTATGCAAAGGGTCAGTGAGAGTAGTTTTTCCAGGGTAAAGTTTTACAAGACAGTAGCAAGCCAGCTTTTTCAGGAAAAGTATTTCTACAGAGAAGCTTTACTATAGTTCCCTGCAAATTTTCTCCTGGACTCAGCAAGCCCTAGAGGATTTCAGTCCATAGAGAAGCTGATGCTGCATGCCTGAACACAGAGAAGTCATTGCTAGAAGTCATCCTTCCGAGATTCATGGTAACATTGGAAGGAAGAAATGGCTCCTATCGAGACAAAAATAAGAATGGGAGTTTCAGAACACGATCAAATGAGAAGATTTTCTCAAAAACCCTGTCAGCTTCCCTATGAAAAGAGCTCTGAGGTGAAGAGCCTGGACAGAATGGGGCAAGAGTCTTGGGACAACTAGGAGTATCATGAGTGTAGACTTCCCAGAGGGCATCCCCGAGTCTGAACTGCATTTGCTAAAGGTTGACCAAAACGTGTGCCTGTGTTTTGAAACTTATATCTAGATCCTGTTGAGCCAGCACTAAGGTGCACAGACTAAAAGGTGTTAAAGAGCTAATAGTGAATCTAAGTATTATTTATTTCTATTTAGCCAAGTTATATTCTTACATAGAATCATAGAATAGTTAGGGTTGGAAAGGACCTTAGGATCATCTAGTTCCAATCCCCCTGCCATGGGCAGGGACACCTCACACTAAACCATCTCACCCAAGGCTTTGTCCAACCTGGCCTTGAACACCGCCAGGGATGGAGCATTCACAACTTCCCTGGGCATGGACTGTGAAGATGAAAGTGATGATGACAGCAGTATTTTCTCAAAAGTCAAGTTACTGTCTCAGAAAAGAAAGGGCTTTCTAGCTTCCAGAAAGGGAGAAGAAATTACTTTATGCAGCTTAATAGCGAGATGGGTAATTGTCATACCTTTACTGCCATTTGTGCAAAACTGCTAATGGTAGATGTCAGCCGTAAGATAGCATACAATTGGAGCAGATTGTGAAGATAATTATAACACAGCTCCTCAGAACAAAATCCAAGGTTTTTTTTTTTTTTGGTTGCTAAGTAAGAAGAAAATGAAAATGTAAAGATGGTGCCATAGACACTGTGAAAGTATTTCAGAATTTTCCCACTATTGTTCAAATGGATCATTTCGATGTGGCAGCAAGGAACTATTTTTTGCTTCCAAGAGTCACTGATAATTCAAACTGTACACCTTGGTGGTACAGATGTTCTAAGTCTTACCAGTAATTAACTAACTCCCATGTCAGCTGGGAAAACAATTAAGGGAAGAGTGTGTTTTTTCTGTAACAACCGATACTTGAAGTCACAGAGTTATTAAAGTGTCTTGGTATAAATATCTGTTACTCTGCAGTAACAAAGAGTAATCTTTAATCTTGATTATCTCCAAGAAAGCATGAAACTCTTCTGGGCTATCTCAAACCACCAAAAACACTCTAAAGAGTTTTAAAACATCATTGTTGCAGATGGTAACATTAGTCCTAACTTTGGGTGAGAAAAATTAAGCTGAAATGGATTTAACCTGTCTCAGATACTGCAAACTGAGCAAAATATTCTTTGGTTATAATATCTTTTGTAAAGGATATTTCATGTTTGCTGTGAATCCATGAAAATATTGAGGCATGCCTGATAAGGAGTTTATCCATGTTGTAGCAGAAAGAATCTTAAGATGTTTTCCATGTATTAGAAGTTATTTTTGTACATTAATTTAGCATTGATCTGCTGCTGTTTTAATGTTCTTTAGGAAAGGTAAAGATGGGCATCATAGAGATGTGTATTAAGTGTCAGAGTATTACTTACATTGCTTTTACAATGTGCCAACAGCTTTGTATGACACCTTCTTAAACAGGATCAATAATCTGATTTTTTTGTTGCTAAAAATACATATAGTGCATTAACAGGCAGGCAAGCTATGGAAAATTAGTAGTTCCTTTTCCATATATTATGTTTTATTAAAAATAACCAACAATCCAACACTATTGAAAAGCAGAAAAAATGGAAAAAAATTCACTCCAGGAAATCTGCTCTCAAAGACTCAATTTCACATTTTAATTTCAGTAGATTGAAAGATTCGCTAAATCTAGTTTAAGGAGTTAAGAAAACCCACTGAGTTTTCAGAGAACTGTAAACATCCCTGAGGCTTCAACCTTGATGAAAGGGCAGACAACTATTATTCCTGTAAGATTCATGGTGCAGTGAGAGACCAGCTCTGTGTGTGCATGTGCTGGGATCTTGTGGCAGAATGTTGGGACATTTCCTATCTTCAGATGCCAGTTCCCTCAATTTCTCTGAACTTGGTAAATGTGTTATCAATTCCTACCTCAAATGCAGCAGTGGAGAGGATGTTTTTGGTGTGTAAATGGGCTTTGCCAGACTGCAGGAGCCTAATAAACACTTCTTATGTGAGACTAACTTTCAAACCAAAGTTAATTTAAGCTGTGCCAGGAGAGGCTTTTCGTTACATTTTTGCTTTTAATAAAAAGAAAGATGTATGAAAATTATTAAAAAGCACAAAATGCTATTGTAAAAAATACTTTAAAATTTATAGTAATAAAATTGTTCCCCTGAGAACAATGGAAATGAAAAGTGGAGAGAGAAATATCCAATATATTAAGGGAAACTATATTTCCCAAGGTTTCCTTTTCCTTCCTTTTCCTGTGCAGCACATCACTTCTAGCCAAGAAAAGTTCCCTTTTATGCATCTTAGCTCAAATCCAGTTTCATCAGCATGTGAACTAGTATGCCAAACTCTGTGCAGAAGGAGCTCAGGCATGAACTTATGCTCCCTTCTGCCAGCTGTGCTATGAGGCCAGTAAGCTCTGGCACAGGGACAGGCAAAGAAAGGAACTTCTCAGTTCGCCCACTACCAGAGCTTGTCTACAACGATGTTAAGGAAGAAAATGACCAAAGGACATAGTTCCTCTCAGTAGTCCAGGTTTTTTTCTGTACACTGAGGTAGGTCAGTCATCTACAGGATTCATTTGGCTTCCGTTCCATAAACCATGGTGAATTAAGAGAGGGACATCTATATTGTTTTAAAATATTAAGGCAGAGAAACAAATGCCAAGATATGCAACAATTCACATCTGTCACGTACCCATGGTAATTAAAGGGATCTAAGGTGTCCAAACAGCTTGGAGAAAGGGAACTTGATCCTTGCCTGAGTAGCATAACAGAATGAAAATCATATGTGAGAAGTGGTGAGCCACTTTCCCTTCCCCTTTTCCTTTCCCTTTCCCTTCTCCTTTCCTTTCTCCTTCCCTTCCCTTCCCTTCCCTTCCCTTCCCTTCCCTTCCTTTCCTTTCTCTTCCCTTCCTTCCTCTTCCCTTCCCTTCCTTTCCCTGCCCTGCCCCAGGAGAAGAAAGATGAGATATGCTTTAATTTTTAAGTGTCAGAAGAAATTAGAACCCAACTTGGAAATAATTGCAGAACCATTTGCATGCCATACGGAGGTAACTTGATTAATGCATCTAATCAATTTTTTTTTTGCTGTTTGCAGTA